CAATCAACCAGAAATGGATCCAGTGGATACAGGCAGTGGCAAGAAACGGAAAAGATGCCAGCTCTGCCCCCCTCGACAAGACAGTAAAACAAGCACCACTTGTGTAGAATGCAATAAATACATCTGCAGAAAGCACACACACACATTGTGTTCAACATGTAGAGAGAAAGACTGAAGGGATAATATGGACCAATAGGGGGGGAAAAAACCTACTTGGGGAAACTGAAAAATCTTGTTTGTGAGAAAGGAAATATGTTTAACAAATAGTTCTTAAATATTGTTTAAAAAAAATAAAAAGTATTGTATTTCTTCTTTCTGAAATGTCTGATAAGACAAAATAAAGTTGTTTCTGTTTTTACTTAATTCTTTGACTGTCTTGAGTGTGTTTTAAACTGTGCGGGTCAATTTGACCCGTAACATAGTGGATGTAATTTTTTTTTAGCATAACAGGAGGGTTAAACCAAACTAAATGGAGGCAGGGGATAGTGGCTCAAGTAATGTTATCTAGTCACGAAAGTTAAGGTTTTCTATTGTCGTTGGGGGGACACTAGTGACTCAAATAGTTCAGATGTGAGCAGTGAGTGTTCAGGAAGAAAAGTCACTATAATCGATAATGACTTGTCGAGTGCGATCGAAAGGAATTCGCCCCGAATTGTGCTTCACCCTTCCAGTATCCCAAAATACCTCCTCTCTGGTTCACAGTAGGCGCACTACTGTACTGGCTGTGTGTAGCACACAAAGCAGTAGAGAATGTTGGCAGGAAGTGCTAGCAGGTGAAATGTTGGAAATGGAATATGGAGCAGTACTTAGCTTTTGGGAAGGGTGAAGCGTTCACCCTCCCAATTGCCAAAAAGGCCTTCTTGCTCAGTTTCAACACTGGTCCCGGTCTGCTCCAGCAACAGCACACGTTCTCCTCAGTCACCTCAGCTCCGGCTCTGCAGCCTCGCTGCTCCCAGCTCACGTCGATGGCGTGCTGCTTCTGGCATTGACTTTAAATAAAGAACAGGTGCAAGCAACTCCCAGGTCCCAATCAGTGACGTGTCAATTAATTACTCCTGTGATCAACAGGAGGAAGAGTTACAAGGGGCAAAAGAGGTACGCACCTTATATTTGTCTGGGTGAAACCCGTACCAGGTGAATTGGGTTCTGGGCATATAATGCAACGTATGGGGGCAGCTTTTAATAGATACATAGTCACCTCCATGACATACCTTTCATCACCAAAGCCCTGTTAGCATTTACTGTTCATGTTGCTGAACAATCCAACCCAATGATATAAATGGGCAATTCACACACAATATTCAGTTCATAAGCATTGACTGTAATACCTCTGCCGTGCAACAACAGCTTTCTTCCTGGTCTGTCAGCATGCTCCTTTGTAGTAATCTTACTCCCTCTCCACCTGGAATGCAATAACAACAAAAACATGAATAACAATGTACCTACTCAGTCAGTAACTTAGCTAACTAATGAATCATTAATAAAAATAAATAAATAAATAATAAATAATAATTAATGTGTACATATACAAGCCTATTCTTTATTAGCCAAATTGTACCAAAACAGCCTCTTTGCTACTTTTTCAGTTACCAATTCATCAATAAACAGTAACGAACTCGTTTGGCAAAGAGTGTTCTATAGTCAGTAGCAGGTCATTAAAATATAGTTAGCAAATATATAGTTTTTATTTTCTGAAATAATTAGCTAGCTACATTGATGAACTCAGGTAATGGTGGAAGTTAGCTCTTCCCAAGCAGTTTCAATTTAGCTAGGCTCATCCAACAGGCTTAAGCTGCAGTGAAACAAAGACAATACCAGACCAGACAGCCTGACCATGATCCTATTGCGTTTAAACTAGCTAACGTTAACTACCTAATGGCCTTTTTATCATCTTTATAGATAATATAAATATTTGTTTTCCCCTCGCATCTAGAGCTGCCTAATAGCAAGCCAGTCCGGTAGCTAAGATGCATACAATGTGTGACATTAGTTGCTATATGGGCGACGTTAGATAAATGAGTGAGATGAAATCCGAAGGAATGACATCACATCCGAAAAATATTTTTAGCTGGAATTATTGAGTCTACCATTACAGATATCCACTGGCAAATCTTTACATAAATGAGATAATCAAAAACACGTTGAAATAGCATTAGGATGAATTAACTAGCTAGCTTTCTTACCAAAAATAAGTGTGTGTTGTGTGAAGTCCTCCATGTTGCAATGTGGCTACTGGTTAGCTAGCTACCTGGGATGTAAACATCACGTTGGTCCCACCTTTCATTTAGCTAGCTAACCAATCACTGGCATTGTAACAAAACTCAGTGCTGTGATTGGTCAATAGGGCTGGCAATCATATTTGAATAACACGTTATTGTAGATTTGCGACCACACAAGTGCATTTCGAGAGAGCGCAGGCAAGTACAGTGGGGAAAAAAGTATTTAGTCAGCCACCAATTGTGCATGTTCTCCCACTTAAAAAGATGAGAGAGGCCTGTAATTTTCATCATAGGTACACGTCAACTATGACAGACAAATTGAGGAAAAAAAATCCAGAAAATCACATTGTAGGATTTTTAATGAATTTATTTGCAAATTATGGTGGAAAATAAGTATTTGGTCACCTACAAACAAGCAAGATTTCTGGCTCTCACAGACCTGTAACTTCTTCTTTAAGAGGCTCCTCTGTCCTCCACTCGTTACCTGTATTAATGGCACCTGTTTGAACTTGTTATCAGTATAAAAGACACCTGTCCACAACCTCAAACAGTCACACTCCAAACTCCACTATGGCCAAGACCAAAGAGCTGTCAAAGGACACCAGAAAGAAAATTGTAGACCTGCACCAGGCTGGGAAGACTGAATCTGCAATAGGTAAGCAGCTTGGTTTGAAGAAATCAACTGTGGGAACAATTATTAGGAAATGGAAGACATACAAGACCACTGATAATCTCCCTCGATCTGGGGCTCCACGCAAGATCTCACCCCGTGGGGTCAAAATGATCACAAGAACGGTGAGCAAATATCCCAGAACCACATGGGGGGACCTAGTGAATGACCTGCAGAGAGCTGGGACCAAAGTAACAAAGCCTACCATCAGTAACACACTACGCCGCCAGGGACTCAAATCTTGCAGTGCCAGACGTGTCCCCCTGCTTAAGCCAGTACATGTCCAGGCCCGTCTGAAGTTTGCTAGAGTGCATTTGGATGATCCAGAAGAGGATTGGGAGAATGTCATATGGACAGATGAAACCAAAATATAACTTTTTGGTAAAAACTCAACTCGTCGTGTTTGGAGGACAAAGAATGCTGAGTTGCATCCAAAGAACACCATACCTACTGTGAAGCATGGGGGTGGAAACATCATGCTTTGGGGCTGTTTTTCTGCAAATGGACCAGGACGACTGATCCGTGTAAAGGAAAGAATGAATGGGGCCATGTATCGTGAGATTTTGAGTGAAAACCTCCTTCCATCAGCAAGGGCATTGAAGATGAAACGTGGCTGGGTCTTTCAGCATGACAATGATCCCAAACACACCGCCCGGGCAACGAAGGAGTGGCTTCGTAAGAAGCATTTCAAGGTCCTGGAGTGGCCTAGCCAGTCTCCAGATCACAACACCATAGAAAATCTTTGGAGGGAATTGAAAGTCCGTGTTGCCCAGCGACAGCCCCAAAACATCACTGCTCTAGAGGAGATCTGCATGGAGGAATGGGCCAAAATACCAGCAACAGTGTGTGAAAACCTTGTGAAGACTTACAGAAAACGTTTGACCTGTGTCATTGCCAACAAAGGGTATATAACAAAGTATTGAGAAACTTTTGTTATTGACCAAATACTTATTTTCCACCATAATTTGCAAATAAATTCATTAAAAATCCTACAATGTGATTTTCTGGGGAAAAAAATCTCATTTTGTCTGTCATAGTTGACGTGTACCTATGATGAAAATTACAGGCCTCTCTCATCTTTTTAAGTGGGAGAACTTGCACAATTGGTGGCTGACTAAATACTTTTTTTCCCCACTGTATGCTGTGAGCAGGGAGATGCTGAGCTCGACACTTAATTTATTGCGCTCAATTCCACTCTTGGAACGCAAAAAAAAAAAACGGCGCGCTTTACACTTTCTTTTAGCTCCTCAACATGATCCTCTGCGCCCTCAATATTTTTTATCTCAACTCTCTCCACCCGTGCTCATTTTTGTGTGCAATTTTATAACACATTTCATGCAATTTTACTAATTTTGTCATAGGGTGGAGAGCAGAGGAGGCTGGTGGGAGGAGTTATAGGAGGATATGCTCATTGTAATGGCTGGAATTGAATAAATGGAACAGTATCAAACACATCAACATATGGAAACCACTTGTTTGACTTTTATTCCATTCCAGCCATAACAATGAGCCCATCCTCCTATAGCTCCCCCCACCAGCCTCCTCTGGTGGATAGACAGTTTTGCAGTTTTAAAGCTAATTTCCTGCATTTCTACACATTTTGCCCTGACTTATGCCATGTAAATATCATATCTGAGTGAGAGTGACTAACAAAATCAATATCACACCCTCTCCCTGGGCACAGATTGTCCTTGGTTTAATGTTGAAGGAAGAGCAAACATCTGAGGCAGCCGGGCCGGTGGATAAATAAATATTAGTTGTCCTTGTTTGGACAGTGGAGTACTCTCTGTCTACACATACAGTGGGTGTTACTAATGACTCTGTGTTTACACTTACTGTTTGTCACGCATTACTAAAGTGTATGGAGACCATAATGGGTTCCATGTGCTTATGTTACTCACAGGGAAACATGTAGACACTGCATTTTTAGTCAAGCACTTGTTTATATCTATGTAAGGGAAAAATTGCTGTACCAGTGCACTAGACAAATTAGGTCAGAGTGTATCCTGAAATTAAATCAAATGCACAAATCTAATACATTAAACATGTGCTGCATTTACAGTAGTGAAACCTTGCAGAAGCATAAAGCTCTGCAGTTTGGTTTCATAAGGAGAGCCAACCACAGTGAGAGAGCCAGACTGCTCAGTGAGAGAGCCACAGTGCTCAGTCGACAGTTCCGTTTCCTACATGCTGTGACTGCTCACACACGGGGGCTGGACTACTGTACGTGAGTAGAGCAGTGATTGGACCAGGGCTCTGCCAGTGAGTGAACAAATCCCCTCTGGCTTCCTCTCCTCCTTTCCTGATGCAGCGTGGGAGGAGAGGGAGGGGAGTTGATCTGTCTTCTCTCAGCCACTGAGCCTCTCTCAGCCTGCCTCAGCTCGCCACCTGCCCTTGAGTTACTGTGGATAGACGAGACAGAGAGGAAGTCGTTCTGTAGTCTGGCTCTTCTAAACCATATCTCTGCTGTGTTTTTATCCCTGGGTTGTTTAGATTTTTTCCCTCTCTGCTCTGGGGCTGTAGTGGAGTGGGGTGGAGTGGAGCGTTTGTCCCTGGCTAGCGGAGCTCCGATGGGAGGCAGTGCTGCCTCTGGCTGGGACTGGGGATGCTGAACGGGGGAAGGGAGGGCCTGTTTCAGCTGGGACAGCAGCTCCAGCAGCAGGGGGAGTACCAGGCCGCCCTCCACTGCTTCCTCAGCTCTCTGCTGGGGTTGAGGCACGTGCAGAGCTTCACCTCGCTGCCCAACTGCCTGCACCAGGTGAGCCAACGACCTGATGGCCAGACGATCACTCACTCTCACACCCATATGTATACATGCAGGAACAAACATGCACACGCATACTGTAGACAGATGTTTGCACACACAAATGTCCATTCTACAGGCACATGCACACAGTTGTGGTGTACATAAACATGAGCACAGACACAAAACCCATTCACCACAATACTGATACCATACCTACAGTACTGACACTGTGTATGCCTGTTACTCATACATTAGCATATAATATACACACACAAGCCACACACTACACATACCAATACAACCTTGCCATCACCAATACCAATGTCAAACATCATGTTGCCACTCACAGCACAGGATCAGCATGTTTCCTGTTGACAGTGCATGTTGCATGGTGATGAGAGGGAGTCTGTCTGTCTCAGTAATATGCCATATTGCAAACCTGTGAATATGTTAGCTACTGTACCTCAATATGAGTGGTGGAAGTGGTCCATGTATAGTGCATAACATAATACAGTATGTCAGTAGCCTATTACCAGAAACTCTACTGTATCTGATGGATGCAAATAGCCTCAGATTACTGGGAGTCATTTCATGTGCATGCCTGTCTCCCAGGACAGAATATTGTTGTTTTGATCCTGTTTTGTTGGACCAGATTACATACCTAAGGCCCCTGGATAACAATATGTATCAAGTGACCTACGGAAAATGTCTTAAATGTACAAACATAGCCCCTTACCCAATATCCCAGGAATGTGGCATGATGTTGAACAGACCAACGGCGAGAAAGAGAGAGAGAGAGAGAGAGAGAGAGAGAGAGAGAGAGGGTGGAGTTGTTCATTCCCCTCCACAATACAGTAGCTTATACGATAATAGTGGAATGTGAATGATCATACATGGTAATATGAGTAGAATGCAGACAGTCAATTCATTTTGTAGCATATTCATATCACACAATCCTAATATGTGTTCTCCTTTGTGATTACAGATAGCTGAACTCTTCATCTCCGAAAATAATTGTATCCTTTACACACAAACAGAGGCCTTGTGAGACCAAACCCCTATCCCTTATCTGACCCCACTTCCAGAGAACTATTAGTACTATCTTTGCATGAAACCTGTGACTATGCTAGGGTGGCAAAGATTGTTTCCTTTTTTGGTGGCAGTGGCCTGCGGGCATGGTGAATTCCAGTACAAAATGTAATTTGGCTGTACAGAGAAAGCTCTGTAGAAAGAGGGAATTTGTGTCCATGGGACAGAATATAATCACAGCTTTGTCCCGAAAATGCTCAAGGTTTTGAATGGGGCTCAAGCCTTTATCTTAAGAGGATTTGTAAGTGATTATCTCCCCATAACACAGAGTATGAGAAAGCTAATGAACCTGTATTCTGCAGTGGCTGTGTGTGTCACCACCACCACCACCATTATCCACTACAGGCCAGAGCAGTATAGGGCTCAGATAAGAGGGGTGTAGTGTTGCAGGATATATAACCTCTTCCCATTGCACTCTTCTCTGTTACTGAGACATTGAAACACTTTTCACGCCAGCTCAAGTTATCTGCCTCAGCAAGACCCAGCTCTTCACAACCCATCTCCCAATATAGGTTGATTTACTGGGCTCACTTCATCAATAGATATCCATAGTCTCCTCATCTTCTCAGAAGTCATTTAGTTAAGAGGCTCATCGGTCATGAGAGGGTTAATTAAGTCTTTGGACATGAAACAGACACATAGCATCATGAATAATTATGGAAGAATGGTGTCATGTCATGTTAATAGTAACATATAAGCTTTATAGGCACAGGTCATTACCACCATAATGATTTGAAGTAGATAGTTTTAAACTATTCACAAAGTAATTTGAGTTTTTATCATGGAACTTGTTACGTGGAACTCATACAGTTGTATGATCCAGACATGTATTTTTGTCAACACAGAGATTAGGCCAGAACAATGGGATACATGACAGAGTCTGATTGTCCCAGTTAAAGTCACTGCCCATTGGGCAAAATCAACATTGTTTCCACGTCATTTCAACCGAAAAATTCAATGTGATGACGTTGAATCAACGTAGAAAACTGATTGGATATGAAAAAAGTCATCAATGTAAGGGAATGTTGTATTTCTTTCACCTAACTTTTAACCTAAATCCAATGACATGGTGAATTATTTTGTTGATTTCACATTTACTTCACATGAGTTACCAAATGTAAGTCAAAACTAGACGTTGAACTGACATCTGTGCCCAGTGGGTGGTCCCTGAGGACAGGTTAAAACAGGATATTTATGTTACTGGGCAGAGCCAGAGTTGAACAGGCTATTAAAGTGCTCTCTGGGTTGTATTTGGGAAGGTTCCCTGGGGAGTGAGGGAGGTGAAGAGTCAGCCTAATCTAACTGACTCTGATGGGAACTCATAGTTTCACACGCACAGACTAAAAAGCATCAACTCTCAGCATCAAATGCCATAATAATAACTCCCAGTTGCTGGAATTCTTCTCAGAGCTGCCAGAATTCAGAAGTGACCTCTGGCCTCTTGGCTCGCATTTGTTTATTGACATTTCTTTCATGGAAAGTGTATTAATCTATCCATTCAATTTGTCTCTCAAATTGCTCAAATTGGGCCTCCTGTAGCTCAGTTGGTAGAGCATGGCGCTTGCAACGCCAGGGTTGTGGGTTCGATTCCCACGGGGGGGGCAGTATGAAAAATGTATGCACTCACTAACTGTAAGTCGCTCTGGATAATAGCATCTGCTAAATGACTAAAATGTAAATTAGAGCAGTAAATAAGCCAATCAAACTGAACTATCAGTCTCAACATGTTTTCTGTTACAGTTTGATGTTTGTATAGACATTAATCAACACAATCAAAAACATTTATAGTCTGTTTTGTGGTATAGTGCTGACTGCATGAGAATAGTGTCACAAACCACATATGCTTCAGAGCGCTTCCTTTAGAAGGTCATCTCAACCTTGACATTCTCCACATCACGTGTGCTGCATGTGCTCTAAACTGAGTTCACCCTGCTGTTGAAAGGGGGTCTCTGTCTGCTTTAATGGAACTTGTTGGAACATGGTTCAATCACCAACTGAGGGTGGAAGACTTAGTACCTTCTCAGTGTGGGTTCGCTGCATTGTTGTTGTTGTCCTGCCAGGTTATAAATACCCCAGACCAGCAGATGTAGTGCTTTGACCTCTGTGGTCTGCCTGTGAAGTAACCTTCTATCCCAGATGGTCCTCGTCATACTCACCTCACTGTTGGCAGGCAGCATGGGGCTTTCTATGGTAGTGATATGGACTTAATGGGCCTCTGATCATAGTGGAATGATCTCCAGATTTCAAAACACATTAGACATTTCTCTTTGGGATGATTTTGTAAAAACATTTTTGAGGCATTAAGTGGTATTGACAGTTTTTTCATGAAAAAGCATTTTGATGGATCGAGTGGGTACTGTTTATATGCCAGAATATCCGAATGTATCAGTTGTGAACGCCTCTCCAGCCATCTTATTGGCATGTGAAAAGTGTTGTGTCTGTAATGGCCATCAATACTGGTACCGGTACTCCCTGTATATAGCTCCATTCTTATGTATTTTATTCCGCATTACTATTTTTCTTTTTATTATAATTTTTTTTTACTCGGTTAAGTCTACACCCATTGTATTTGGCACATGTGACAAATAAAATGTGATTTGATTTGAACAGTCAACCCTGGAGTTAACCCACAACTGTATGTCAGTAGCCCAATATCTCTACCTCAGCTGGCTATTATATACTGTCAACAAATAGGAATGAGGCACAGTGCAGGATATGCAGGATGCTTAGAAGAGAACCATAGTAAATAAAATAAAATAAAAAAATGGATGTCTACTGGAGTCATAAAGTATGCATGGCACTGCATACACTGTGTTTCCTTCTGGCTAGTGTAGTCTATTAGGAGTGTGTGTTAATGTGCTTCTCGTGTATTTTACTAGTCATAAAAGGTAGCCTCTTTCCTTTCACATGGACAGTTATGACAGGGTTTATAGGCTACTGTCATTTAAAGATGCACTATGCAGAAATCGCTCCGCCATTTCCTGGTTGCTAAAATTCGAATGGTTCGCCTAATTTCAGTTTATGTGACAAAACAAGCAAGTATAGTGTAGAGAATCATTGTACCATCTAAACCGCTGTGAATGATCATTTCCATAACCAAAAATATTGTATTTTCAGCTGTTTGAAGCTGGTGTATAAAACCAAAAGTAAAAGACACAAAAACGGAACTTAAGAACGGGAAGCATGGAAATAACGGACATAGCCTTTATTCACTGTATATAATACATACTTTTGTAAAGCTTTCAAACTGTGCTACTTTAACGGCAATCAATCGGTCACACACAAGCATTCAGAAATAGAACTAAGCAAAGTCTGGTCTCACATGCTACAGAGAGTTCCTGCTTTTGAGAAGGCCATTTACGCCAGGCTGTATGTCAGTGTTTATTTTAAGCACATTTTCCTTGTCAAGCAATGCTCTTTAAATTCACCTGTAAAGTGTTAACGGTGTCAACATACAAAAGGATGCATTTATTTCAGTATGAAGAATGACTTTGACAAAGTGAACCAACTCGGCTCCTGAGTCTATTTTTAGGGACACATATTTATTGTCTTAGGGACAGATCTAAATTTAATGGGTTGTCAAACTTTTTATTTGTTGCTTTGGGGAGGGTAGTGTGTTTTTATTTGGCCCAGGGGAGGGTAGTGCATTTTCCCCCTGGTTTACATTCGCTCTTCTGCTCGTATTTTCACTATAAACAATGGCTGGACTTACTTTTGATATTGCCCTAATAAAGTTTAGAAACATTTGTGAAGGTTTGGTGTGGCTATTATTAAGCTTTAGCTAGTGCAGGCCTATGATACTGTATGTCCCTGACTTTATTGTGCAATCCCGGTCACTTAAAAAAATATTTGTGTATAAATGTTTTTTTTAAACGGACAAAAAAAATCAATCAATAAATTAATACAAACTGTGCAGTGGCCAATTGATGAATGGAAAGCGACATCTGTTACAAAACACCAAAAAGTTCAACATTCGGAGATTGTCAAGCCAAGCCTTCGATACTGGGTAAACCTACAAGGTAGGGAGGGATGTCTATTTATTGTGGTGTTGAAAACGCAAACCATGATATTGAAGTGCCCGAAGTCGGTATGCTTTGTTTATTGGTTGTGTAGTGCATTGGCACAGAAACCTGTCGGTGGACACCTTGAGTTGGAACAGCCCCTCCCCCCAGTAAATTTTGATCTGTCCATTACGGAATCAGGTACCCAAAATAACTCTGGCACATCAACATTTACAAACAAAAGACTGCACTGGAATGCCCAGATTATTATAGTCCAGGCCTTCACAGAGACTATGATTTGAGCTGTCTGTTTAGAATGTTGGTTATGAGCCTGTTAATTGCGGAGGTCACGTTCAGGAGCTATAAAAAAACAACACATTGCAGTTGAGCCTGGCAAGAACAATGTTTCTGACTGCTACAACTGACTTAATCCCTGTGACAACTGAGCCTGATCCTTCACCTATATAAACAGACAGCAAGGCCCTGCAGTTCATTCAGGCTGAGAAGATGTTCTACGAGGTTGCTCTGATCGAGCTCACTGCTGTTCAGGGGAGCACAGGCAAGTACATTTGCATCTATAAAAAGGGGGCATTAAGGATGCATCCACAAGTTCAGCTTCTCGCCATCTAACAAACATATCAGAAGGCGTAATAGTTGGTAGAGTTTAGGCATGGACGGTAGTCATAGAGCTGGGCCAGCACACCAGCCCCCAGTCATGGACCATTGTGCAGAAGTACAAGGAGTGACGAAGGATGCCGCTGAAATACTATGAGGGTGGTTGATGAAGCAATTTGATTCAGGTGAGTGAGGCGGGCTTGTGGCTAATGAAGATTGGATGCAGGTGAGCAAATTGGCATGGTTACTGCTCTATGTCCATATATGGAGTATCTTGCTGCACTGCAGCCTTCCATTATGGGTGTCTGGGCACATATATGGAGTTCCTGCTACAGGGCCGCATTCCAATATGAATGTCGTTACCAATGTATGGAGTTCCTCATTCCAATATGGAAGTCTGAGTCCATATATGGAGTTCCTGCTCTAAGGCTGCGTTCCAATGCAGAAGAACAAGCCCATATATGGTAGTTCCTGTTGTGGAATAGGCGTGTCATCTGAAGCTTAAAGCTCTCCTCCCAAAACTGTGTTATGAACTACACTTAGCACTCTAACTGGGTGATTAGGGGGTGCACTAATGAAATGCCATTGCTGTAAGCTACCAATTGTGGTATACAATATGGTATGCAGTGTATTTGTAGGACCTTTGTTATTGTAATATACCAATCTGAAATGATACCAGTGCAATGTGCGATTCTGTACAGTCGTGGTCAAAAGTTTTGAGAATGAAACAAGTATTGGTCTTCACAAAGTTTGCTGCTTCAGTGTTTTTAGATATTTTTGTCAGATGTTACTATGGTATACTGAAGTATAATTACAAGCATTCCATAAGTGTCAAAGGCTTTTATTGACAATTACATTAAGTTTATGCAAAGAGTCAATATTTGCAGTGTTGACCCTTCTTTTTCAAGACCTCTGCAATCCGCCCTGGCATGCTGTCAATTAACTTCTGGGCCACATCCTGACTGATGGCAGCCCATTCTTGCAAAATCAATGCTTGGAGTTTGTCAGAATTTGTGGGGTTTTGTCTGTCCACCTGCCTCTTGAGGATTGACCACAAATTCTCAATGCGATTAAGTGGTCCCGTGTAGCTCAGTTGGTAGAGTATGGCGCTTGCAACGCCAGGGTTGTGGGTTCGATTCCCATAGGGGGCCAGTATGAAAAAAATAAAAATGTAAGCACTCACTAACTGTACGTCGCTCTGGATGAGTAAAATGTCCAAAAAAAATTAGGGTCTGGGGAGTTTCCTGGCCATGGACCCAAATTTCAATGTTTTGTTCCCCGAGCCACTTAGTTATCACTTTTGCCTAATGGCAAGGTGCTCCATCATGCTGGAAAAGGCATTGTTCGTCACCAAACTGTTCTTGGATGGTTGGGAGAAGTTGCTCTCGGAGGATGTGTTGGTACCATTCTTTATTCATGGCTGTGTTCTTAGGCAAAATTGTGAGTGAGCCCACTCCCTTGGCTGAGAAGCAACCCCACACATGAATGGTCTCAGGATGCTTTTCTGTTGGCATGACACAGGACTGATGGTAGCACTCACCTTGTCTTCTCCGGACAAGCTTTTTTCCTGATGACCCAAACAATCGGAAAGGGGATTCATCACAGAAAATGACTTTACCCCAGTCCTCAGCAGTCCAATCCCTGTACCTTTAGAATATCAGTCTGTCCCTGATGTTTTTCCTGGAGAGAAGTGGCTTCCTCACTGACCTTCTTGACACCAGGCCATCCTCCAAAAGTCTTCACCTCACTGTGCGTGCAGATGCACTCACACCTGCCTGCTGCCATTCCTGAGCAAGCTCTGCACTGGTGGTGCCCCGATCCCGCAGCTGAATCAACTTTAGGAGACGGTCTTGGCGCTTGCTGGACTTTCTTGAGCGCCCTGAATCCTTCTTCACAACAATTGAACCTCTCTCCTTGAAGTTCTTGATGTTCCGATAAATGGTTGATTTAGGTGCACTCTTACTAGCAGCAATATCCTTGCCTGTGAAGCCCTTTTGGTGCAAAGCAATGATGACGGCACGTGTTTCCTTGCTGGTAACCATGATTAACAGAGGAAAAACAATGATTTCAAGCACCACCCTCCTTTTAAAGCTTCCAGTCTGTTATTCTAACTCAATCTGCATGACAGAGTGATCTCCAGCCTTGTCCTCGTCAACACTCTCACCTGTGTTAATGAGAGAATCACTGACATGATGTCAGCTGGTCGTTTTGTGGCAGGGCTGAAATGCAGTGGAAATGTCTTTTGGGGATTAAGTTCATTTTCATGGAAAAGAGGGACTTTGCAATCATCTGATCACTCTTCATAACATTCTGGAGGATATGCAAATTGCCATAATAAAAACTGAGCCAGCAGACTTTGTGAAAATTAATATTAACATTCTCAAAACTTTTGACCACGACTGTACAATAGAGAAACAAACCTCAGCCAGAGAGCCTGGTGTATCCCTTACAACCCAACAGGGACCATGTGATTTGTTTAACCTAGGTCCATCTTTATTTGCTGTAAACATGGTGCAGCTCTGAGACATTTGATTTGATTTGATTTGTTCACCGCAGAGGCCAGTCATCTATCACCTGCTGCCTCTCCTCTCCAGACATCTGCCTTCATCTCTGTCTCTCTCTCTCTCTTTCTCTCTCTCTGTCTGTTTGGAGGCTACTGATTCAGCAGCAGCTCAGTGTCGCATGGGCAGGAGGTAGCAAGAGTTATGGGATGGACAAGGAAGACAAATGGCCATGCTAGGCATTATCTCATAAGGAGTTGTGTGGCGCCATTGAATACTGAGGCCCCTGATTCAGCACTGTGCCAGCTGCTCTGCTTCTCTCTCCTGGGGCAATGCTGGCATCACAATCACTCCACCAGCCTTTTCTCTCTCTTCAATCTCCTGTTCAAAGCTCGTCCCGTTTCCACATGATCTCATTTTGATTACCTGACAGATATTGGACCTACCCTGTTTTCTATGCTTTCTATTCTTTTCCCACATCCTGTTCAAAGTGTCTGTCCCCTTATTGCCATTTCTGAACTACTTTACTTTTCTGTTTACCTCTCTCCAACATTAGGCTGGAAAAGCTTTTATGGACGCTAATCTCCACTCCCACCAGGGTCAGCTCAGGTGTTTGTGTCTGTGTGAACAGCTAGCTGTGCCACTGCTCTTGTGGGTGTGGTGCGTGTGCTGTTTGCACTCACAGTATCCTCTCCCTTCCCTCTTCCCTCTGCTCTCTATCTGACGTCTCCTGCTCACTATCCTGTTGGTTCCACTGTACCCTGCTGTTCAGACTCCACTCTCATCTCCACACTGCCAGCCCTGCCAGAGACCACATCGCCAGCCTTTTTCTGATTCTGTTTGCTTGCTGTGTAGAGAGACAGAGGGGGTTCAAGGGATATAAAGAGCGAGAGAAGGATAGAGCGTGAGAGAGAAGGATAGAGACAGACATTAGCGGGCGGCTGATTACACGCCCTGTGTGTGTGTAACAGGCCCCCATGAGGAGGCTTTGCTGGGCTCGTCTGGGACAGGATGGGCATCCCCAGAGGAGCTATCGGATCAGACCTACCAGGCACAGCATTTCGAGCGGCTGGCCCAACTTTGCATCGTGAGTAAAAGGTACGTAGAGTTAACAAGAATAACGCAAATGTCCTCTCTTTCAATAAGGGCAGTGCTGTTTAGTACTGTTGGTCTTCCTCTCATTAAATGAGACGTCTTTGCTGTTTCTGTTCTGCTGACCTTTCTGAACTTGTGTTGGTAATTTCTGGGTTTCAAGTAAGGATGGGATGAGAAAGTAGATAAGAGAATTATGCCTGATATAGATAGCATAATATATAGACTGATACTGTAGGTGTTGTTGTTTGCTGTTAAAGGCTCCAAAATGCTGTAGTTATATTTATTAGATGCTGTACTTTGATATTTTGGCTAGCTCTGTTCCCCAGTTATTGCTTTTGAAAGGATGTATGAGTGTATAATATCTTTACAAGATGAAAAACAGTGATATTATTAATCAGGCATGAGGCTATCTCACTGAGGAATTGTTTGCATTCTGTAGTTTAAATTGGACATTTCTGAAATTGTTTCCCCCGATTGTTAGGGGAAGACGGGTTATATATGCTTATAGTGCTTTGAAAATATGGCGTCAGGGTGAAAATGTAGTGTTTGCATCTGTGGCCCTCATGCAAAAACCACTGAGTTGAATTTACCTGTGTAGGTGGAGAAAAGGGACACCATCCGTAATGGGAGTTTCAAGTGTTACCAGAACACATTGATCCAATGTCCTTGATCCTAGGCCACAAAGACAGGAACATCCACATGTATTTGCCCCTCTTGTCATTGGTTGGAAGATTAGAGTATTTAGCCTGATTTGCTTGAGAGGGTGGAAGGGGGGAACAGGTATCCTGACAACTCACGCTGAATTATTCCACTGCTCTGTCGTTCGCTACATATTTTAGTCTGAGACTGCCGTCATTGAAGTCGTTTGTGGTGATGAGGGGCACGAGGAGTGTTGTTCAAAACAAAGTCATCAGCGATTAGATCGTCTCTAACCAATCAGAGTATCAAAGCCAATGACACATTTTCAAACCACCGCTTTACCGTGTTCTGGCTCTGGCCTAAACAATCGGTTTCTGGACCAATCAGATGGCCCCGAATGTGTTCACATTCGGTAACCTAACCTAGCAGGTATAAAAAGACGGCTGAGTGGAGTCCCCACATCCATTTTGCAGGGGAAACGGAAGTTAGGTTGAAAATACTGTATCCCTGAAAACCGGAAACATCTGCTTTCTTGGTTTCTGCTGTTTGATCTCTCATTCTTGTACTATACTTTTAGTTTAGGGTTTCTCTAGTATTATGCTTTTAGCCCTAATGTTTGAAAGAAACATGAAATGTACAAAATGCCCCAAATTCATCCACCCATTAGAGGCTTCCCAATCCAATGGACTTGTTTGGGTGCAATATTTTATTTACAGGGTTTTAGAAGACTATGAAAATAAAACATTTAGGTGAACTCATCCTACTACATCACTGGAGCTTGGGGGCAGTTTGGAATTGGGAGGATGTCAGCCTCTCCATCTTTACTGGGTCATAGTCATTTTTGTAGGTGTTTATGAAAAGTCTATGAGATTAACATTAACCTTGGACACTGACGGAGTAATGAGGACTACCAAGAGATAACTGGAAGAGATGGACAGGAACTTTCTTTTGACTCATATAACTGTCTTTAGTAGTCAGTGCTAAGTCAATGCCAGCCCCCGTCTTCTCTCCTGGACAGGACGTTATCGTGCTTCCTGAATCTTTCAGCGCTGTGGCAGGAAGTACTTCGGCCGTTGAAGGGCTTTGCTGTACTTTGGCGATCGGATGTCCTCAAATTACGTTCTAAAACAGTGCAAACAGACACCTGGCCATTACTAATTGAAGGGAACCATGGTTTTAGAACAGCGATCGTGACATCTGCCACACTACACAGGGCTTGCTCTACATCTATGGGCACACGTAAGGGCCGGAATCTGTCGTGCCATGCTATGCCCACCTAGCTCCGTGCCAGAGCGGAATAGCTGTGGAAGGGTGCACAGTAAACCAACCTGTGGGGGCCATGGCAAAATGGATAATAAAATGTATTTTATATGTCCCTAAAGTACATGTTTGTTTGAGGTTGCTTTCTATGGGTTGGAGGTTGTTGTTTTAATTGGTGTTGGTTGTTTGTCTGGAATTTCTATTGTTGGTTTTAGTTTATTTATCAACCGTTAGTGGTCACATAAAATGTCTCATGGGCTGCTTGTAACAGGAAGGACTGTGAACTATTGACACAGCCCACTGGGAAAAAACTTGTTGCATCAATGTTGTTTCCACGTCATTTCAACAACAAAATTCAATCTGATGACGTTGAATCAACATGGAAAACGGATTTGATTTGCAAAAAGTCATCAACATAAGGGAATTTCATATTTTTTTCGCCCCCCTTTAACCTAAATCCAATGACATGGTGAAATGTTTTGATGATTTCACATTGAATTCACGATAGTTGAAATCTCAACCAAATGTAAATCAAAACTAGACATTGAAATGACGTCTGTGCCCAGTGGGAGTAATAATCCATAAAATGTTAATTATCTTGTGTTCCTGTCCTTTATTTTAGACCTCATCTCGCTTTAGAGTACAGTGGGAAAGCCACTAAGATCCATCAGAGGGCCTTTGGCAACAACCACCCCATCACAGACAGGAGTCTGGAGCTGCTGGCCACCGTCTACGCAGAGATCGGCAAGACAGAATACTCAGGTAAAACCCATAACACTTTAAAGGCCATTGTCATGCTGAAATAAACATAGATGAATACTTACAGTAGGTTAACTCAATAGTCCTGAGTGTTCCACCATGGCTTAGTGTGTCAGCATGTTCTTCTCAGTGTGACAGGCGAGCACAGGCCGTGGAGAGTTTATAGTTGACAGCTTGTAGTTAAACTGGACCCTGAGAGGGAATTTAGTGTAGACCTTGTCACCAGGTTGACATAAAGCACTATCTTGTGGCATGACAAACCGGAAAACAGCTGTTAAGCCCAATAACAACTTAACTGCTTTGCTTCAGCGCACACATTGCACTGTAAGTGGCTTACAGAATTCCAGTTAGCCCTCCTACTGTATGATGTCTGCTCAAAGAAATGTTAAATTAAGAAACACACACACTTAGAGGAGTTTTATATAGAGCTGAACAGAAAATACTTATTGTGAAATTGACAGTTTGAGGCCACTGTATTGGTGTGCTCATGCGTCACTTGTGTGAAAAGGAAGATGCATTTTCTATTGTTTTCCAAAGTTGCCGTTTTTAGGGTAGAGAGGTCTGCTGAAGAAGGCACAGGGTAAAATGTGCCCTAGATGTTGAGATCAGTTGTTGAGTCAGCGCTCACAGACAGGGGTGCTCAGTAGAGCAGGATATGTGTAGGACCTGGGGTGCGAAGACAACGGTTCACATTGTACGTTCCTATTCATGCCAGTTGACCTTCTTGGCCATATCCTTGGTAAAATGAATGTCAATAAGTACAGAAAACAGCTGAAGCATGGACACAGTTTGTCCTTGCAATGTAAGCCAGGTCACTGTCAGGGTACACATTTAATTAATGTGTTTCTGTTTGCTCTCTGTGTAACCTCAACTTTCTTTTGTATGCAAAGCATGATTTCTTTGTGACCTAAAATGGCTGTCATAGAGTTGTCATTGTGGGTGTGTGCTGCACAACATTTATTGATAGTTGGACAGTCTACATGTTGCATATTCAGTCTATTGCACATCTATCATAATACAAAGCCAGTGCAGTGCTTTTGTGATCTGGAAATGTGTGTGTTGTAAGTACCCATTGCACTGTAACTGTGCATATAGTAAATGGCCATGATGGAGCCAACACTGATGTTTTTCACAGAAATGTTTGTTTTTGTATTTTGAACTTTAATCTTCAGCTCTATCTACACAGTAGCTGTCTGCATGTTTACTGGTACCTTGGATCCAGGTTCCATCGGTAGTCAGAGACTAATGTTTACTCATGGTTAACCCCTTAGACTCCCTGGGCCAGTGTGTGTCAGCGCTTTCCAAGAGGTTTGCTGCTGCCGAGTCCTTCAGAGACACACTCAACAACGGTCTTCCCCATTCCCACTCCCATTCCCATTCCCACCGGGATAAACGCTCCGAGGTCCGGCACAGGAAAGACCCCCGCCCACTGGAGGACACACCAAAACCCAAGGTGACACTCTATTTTCAAGAAGAATACTTTTTTTAAATGACTGAAATGTCCTCAAAACTGATGTCCATTGTGTCCTCACTTCTAAAGATATCTCACCCTCTCCTCAGGTCACTAACGCTAAAATCCCCATGTCCATACTGAAGAGGTCTGGCTCAGGATCAGACTCAGAGCCCAGCCATAGACGGAAAGGCGAGCGGCGGGTCCGGTTCAGGGAGCCTGAAACCACTGTGCATGGTGAGAGAGACATCAGGATAAGAGATCAAACATATGGAGGCCATGAGGACTAGATCTTTCCGAACTTTAAAAGTTTGAGCCCATTCAGTGCATGTAACGATCCGAGGAGAGATGACGTGTTGCCCTCTGGTGCATTCTCACCTCTACCCAGTCACTCTCACTCCTCTCTACTGCACTGGAAGGCCCTGGTCTGCGGAAACACATTAACAGTTGAAGTCGGAAGTCTACATACACTTAGGTTGGAGTCATTAAAACTAATTTTTCAACCACTCCACAAATTTCTTGTTAACAAACTATAGTTTTGGCAAGTTGGTTAGGACATCTACTTTGTGCATGACACAAGTAATTTTTCCAACAATTGTTTACAGACAGATTATTTCACTTATAATTCACTGTATCCCAATTCCAGTGGGTCAGAAAATGAATTTACATACACTAAGTTGACTGTGACTTTAAACAGCTTGGAAAATTCCAGAAAATGATTTCATGGCTTTAGAAGCTTCTGATAGGCTAATTGACATCATTTGAGTCAATTGGAAGTGTACCTGTGGATGTATTTCAAGGCCTACCTTCAAACTCAGTGCCTCTTTGCTTGACATCATATAGACCTCCACAAGTCTGGTTCATCCTTGGGAGCAATTTCCAAACGCCTGAAGGTACCACGTTAATCTGTACAAACAATAGTATGCAAGTATAAACACTATGGGACCACGCAGCCGTCATACTGCTCAGGAAGGAGACGCGTTCTGTCTCCTAGAGATGAACGTACTTTGGTGCGAAAAGTGCAAATCAATCCCAGAACAACAGCAAAGGACCTTGTGAAGATGCTGGAGGAAACAGGTACAAAAGTATCTATATCCACAGTAAAACGAGTCCTATATCGACATAACCTGAAAGGACGCTCAGCAAGGAAGAAGCCACTACTCCAAAACCGCCATATGGACAATGACCCCAAGCATACTTCCAAAGTTGTGGCAAAATGGCTTAAGGACAACAAAGTCAAGGTATTGGAGTGGCCATCACAAAGCCCTGACCTCAATCATATAGAACATTTAGGAGCAGAACTGAAAAAGCGTGTGCGAGCAAGGAGGCCTACAAACCTGAATCAGTTACACCAGCTCTGTCAGGAGGAATGGGCCAAAATTCACCCAACTTATTGTGGGAAGCTTGTGGAAGGCTTGACACAAGTTAAACAATTTAAAGGCAATGCTACCAAATACTAATTGAGTGAATGTAAACTTCTGACCCACTGGGAATGTGATGAAATAAATAAAAGCTGAAATAAATAATTATCTCTACTATTATTCTGACATTTCAGATTCTTAAAATAAAGTGGTGATCCTAACTGACCTAAGACAGGGAATTTCTACTAGGATTAAATGTCAGGAATTGTGAAAAACTGAGTTTAACTGTAGCTGAGGTGTATGTAAACTTCCGACTTCAACTGTATCATTGGACTGACTCAGCTCTATTCCACTGGGTTTTAGAGAAATAAACACTCACTATATCAAAATGTATAAAACAATGCTTAGTAATACATTGGTGAGATATACTGCTAAATCTACTGTTCTCCTAATTCTCTATGGGGCACTACTATTGAACCTCACAAAGGGATCTGCGTTGTTATGGCTTAGCTGTAAAAGAAAATGAACAAGATACAGTTGAATCCTGTGATTAGATCGTGAAACACTGTCCCTTGAGGATACTGTAGTATTTAATGTAACGCTGAATTTACAAAAATAACAAACATGAGCAAGCTATTTACACTTCATGATTAATTATGCATGCAAATGAGGCAGCCTTTTATTTATTTATTTACTTGCTTCTTGTCTATCGGTTTCGCAGACATTCCATACTATGACCGTTTAGTTGGTAAGTCTGTCTGACAGTGGTCCCAATTATTAACTCACTAAGAGCATGGAGCAAGTGTCACCCTCATTGACTGGTCATTAGTGACTTGTTATACTAAATCTGTGTAGGGAAGACTGTTGTGTGGTGCTTAATATGAGAATATGCAATCATAGACATTTTAATATTGCACTGTGATGCATGGGTATTCCTCCCTCAATTGTACCCACTTTTGATATTGCATATTCCAGTTCAGTATCTGGTGTATGGCACTTTTTATACTGGTAATAAAGAGACAACCAAAAAACTGAAAATCAGGCCTTTAGCTACAATGGGGTGGAGAAAGGTCATTTTGGCATCAGGAAGACGACATGCCCCTCCCTCCTGAACGTGCAGACTGGATGAGCCTTTACAAATCATAAATCATTCAACAGTTTGTTGTTGGTCTCTTTTGGTTCACAGCCTATGACACATCACCGCCCCGCCCCCACCTGGCCCTGTTCACCTGCCTGTTCCTGCTGATGTCACTGCTGGGCGTGGCCATGTTCTGCACAGAGCGCCGGCGCCCACAGCGTGTTTGTGAGGAGCTGGAGGCCTTGCTGGCTGTCTACCTGATACACATAAAACAGCTGCTGTGGGGCTGCTGGATCTGGATAACCATGCAGTGACTGGGACCCACCAGAGGGGGAGACGTGGAGGACTGCATTCACTCTCTTCATTACATGTCCCTTGAGGTGCCCTACCTTGCCTGGTCCACGAGCACCTCAGTCATACACACTGACTATCTATCTATGGTGTTGAGATGTGCACCCCTACTGCTATGCTCACACCCATATATGGAGAAATGTGTAATCCCAGAGATATTTAGCCTCCATGCCTGCATACTGTATGTACTTAGGTGGTGGGTTTGCTGCCATGTTCGTTTTGTTGATAAGACGTTTTGCACATCAGCAATGTCGACGCTCACTGGTTATGATCACTTAATCGCTACAATAATTTACATTTTCCATTCTTGACACAATCTATTGTGACTGTATGTTTCATGGAATGCCAAATTAATTGTATTTATTTAATTACAATACTACGTCATTTGTGTACTTAAAAGCTAACTACAGATATGAATGTGTATATACCGTATACTAAGGACTATCACAATATTACGCCTTGTTATTGCACATAATTGAATGTATAAAGTGTGAAAAACTGCTTTGAGTTGGCACAAAACACCCTTACCGTCTAAGATAAGGATTATGGATTGAGTCCAGCACAATGTGACCACCTTTTGAAAAGGATTGCTGAAACAGGCACGGGACTGCTTCACTTCACAGTGCCAGGTTGAACTAGCAAATTGACAACACCATCTTTCTTTTACAGCATAAATACTGCAGTCCAGCGTTTCCCAATCTACACAGATTATTCAAATGATCAAAGCTTGATGATTAGTTGATTATTTGAATCAGCTGTGTAGCGCTTGGGCAAAAACCAAAATGTGCACCCCTTGGGATCCCGATGACCGAGTTTGGAAAACCCTGCTGTAGTCTGACCATTTTTAGGTCAGATCAATGTTGGGTTCCCAGTTGGACAAAGATGAGAAAACCTTCAACACAATAATATGAATAGTCTCTTTCCTGGGAATGTACTCAAATTCAATGAGTGCTTATGATGTTGACAGTGTACCTCTTGGTAAATGCTAAAATGCCTCAAGTAATATCCTCTATCCTCTAAATGTTATTTATTCTTCCATACTGCGTATCTACATCTACTCAAATATCAAGTACTTTTATTTTCTTTAGAATACATTTTGTAAGGGCTTTTGTTACATTTCTATTTTTTGATTGCGCCGATATTCAGGTTTTAATCTTGATGTCAAATGGTTTTAAAGTTTAGGATTATTTGGGAATTGAAAAGTACTTCAAATTAGAGCAAATGTTAATGATGCAAAGTAAAGAAAGGAATCTACATTACATTTACGGTCCAATTTGCAGCAACATTATGACACTAATTGAATCTTCACTGTGGGACCTTCAGTAATTGGAACCATTCAAATATAGAAATTAAAGTCTCTTCTATAAATGGGTCGAGCTTTAAAGGACAATGTGATGCTTATCATATACCTCTCAATCCGAGCAATAAAACACAAGACATTGTTTCCATTAATACATATTCTTTATACAGTATAACAGGTTTCAGGGAACACAACTATAAGAAAGAGTTGGTGTTGGAAAAATCTGAGCAATACGATGCAACCAAAGTCTGAATGGAGGAGCTACTGAGACTGAAGGTTCCCTTTGCACAATCAAACGGAACTACTGTCATTAGCAATACAAATACCCAGCAAGTCAACATGGCCTGTTTCTGCACATTTTGGTTAGTAGCTGCATTTCACTGCTGACAATATGTATGTGGTCACTTTGAAAGAAGTGCCTTTTAGAAGGATTTTATAGTTTCTATGGTTTTGTTATTTATTTGAATTATTTTAAATAAAACTGTCATTGCATACCAAAGTCAGTGAGGATGGTGAGTGGTGAGTAGTGTGTGTGTGTGTGCAAAAAAGTGATGATCCTTCTTTCCACACTGCGGACTACATTTCCTCACACACAACAGCACAGAACTGGCCTTGGATAATAGGTCATCCCGTCTATTTTACTATTTGTTCACCCACTGTCAATGTTTTTTGGGGGCGAGAGGTTTGAGGAAGATGGACCCTGTGCCTCATGACATGTAAAGTAAAAAAGGCCCGCCTGAACTTTTAGGATTTTCAAGATGATCAGGTAGACTGATTTATCTAGTTATGTGACTCTGGCATTTCATCCTGAGTTCTGTCCCAGTCAATTTAGGGAAAGTTCATTGACCATACATGTCTCTTACATAGTACAGTTTTAATTTTTACAAAATACTGTTTGGTAATAGTAGATACTCTATAATACACAGCAAAAGCACACATCATACTCTGTTGCTGCATGTAGTCAAGGAAGTCACACATTACTGAAAGCCTGCACAATCTGAATGTATTGGATTGTTACAAAAAAGATATTGCCCAACATCAACAACTACAACTACATCCTGCTCACACCGTCTACATGCACACAGTAAAAAATTAAATAAAAAAGATTTTCACCGTCCTTTAACCACCCTATGTGAGTCATCATCTATGTGCAGCTAAATAGGGAGTGATGTAAAAAAGTCTCAATGCACCATCTCTATCCTCATTAAATGGCCTTGATTCTCTGAGCTCATTTACGCTCCAGTGTGTGCCTTGAAGGGAAAGACATTTCAGCAGTAACTCATTAACAAATATAAATATAGCAAGTGGACAAGTGGATTGAATCAGCTCCACAATACAGCCGGAAACTCTTTACCCTACAGCGCTTTGCTGTCAACAGCAGCATTTTTCAACTGGTAAATCAGGCAGCATATATCTAAGGAGGAGTATATGCAAGCATGGCATAACAATGCACTCTAATCACAGTTAATGGAATTTCAGTTGATTGTTTATAGGTCGTCAGGGGCTGGGCCTATCTATGATGGCAGTTAGGGTAGGATAGGAGGATATGTGTCAGTGATGTGCACGTGTCCACTGGGTGTTAGACCATGCCACAATTCATCTGGTTGACATTAGAACCCCGGCGGGACGAACGTCCCAGCAGCAGCTCCTTCTCGTGGATCAGACTGTCCAGAAGGTCCTCCTGGCGGTAGTTGTGGTAGACCTTGAGGAAGGCCATGATCGTGATACCCAGCCACGTCAGCCACGCTGACCACAGACCAAACTGCAGGTAGGAGACAGGTTTAACAGATATAATATAGCCACAGGGTTCAACCAGAGCTGGGTCAAATTTGGACAGAAGACTCTGGTACAGTCTCAAGTATCAACACAGTGTATGACTCTACACATTCGTCTGACCCTTACCTGGGCAATGGCAAACTGGTCATAGAACGAGGAGTTGTCCAGGCCTAACTCCAGATCAGTGTCCTGCAGGTCCTCACAGCTGAAATACAAGTAAAGAGTAAGGTGAGCTTAGGAGAAGATCTGCTCATAATGTTACTTTGGTCACTGAGGTTAGGGGACATGATTAGCCACATGATCATAGGTATATGGTCGGAACTCAATAGTATTTCTAAATCTTGCCACAGACAATCGAAGAGCTTGTGAGACATGTAAGACAGTGTGAGGGACAGAGGGTGTTTTAAGTCTCACCTGCTGGACATGCTCCCTCCCTCTGTGATGGCATCACACCACAGGTTGAAGCCCACACTGACAATGGTGCTGGAGAGGAACACTGTGAACACCACCAGGGAGCTGATCACCAGATTCAGGAAGGCATTGAACAGGGAACTACACTCAAAGAGAGAGTGAGAGACAGCGAGACAGAGAATATACACTGAGTGTGCAAAACATTAGACTGACCATGACATAGACTGACCAGGTGAATCCAAGTGAAAGCTATGATCCCTTATTGATATCACATGTTAAATCCACTTCAATCAGTGTAGATGAAGGGGAGGAGACAGGTTAAAGAAGGATTTTTAAGCCTTGAGACAATTGAGACATGGATTGTGTATGTGTGCCATTCAGAGGGTGAATGGGCAAGACAAAATATTTAAGTGCCTTTGAACAGGGTATAGTAGTAGGTGCCAGGCGCACCGGTTTGAGTGTGTCAAGAATTGCAATGCTGCTGGGTTTTTCACGCTCAACAGTTTCCCGTGTGTATCAAGAATGATCCACCACCCAAAGGACATCCAGCCAACTTGACACAACTGTGGGAAGCATTGGAGTCAACATGGGCCAGCATCCCTGTGCAATGCTTGACACCTTGTAGAGTCCATGCCCGACGAATTGAGGCTGTTCTGAGGGCAAAACAGGGTGCAACTCATTAGGAAGGTGTTCCTAATGTTTTGTATACTCAGTGTAAGACAGGGTGAAAAATGTGATTTCTTTAATACCATCCTTGTCACGTTTCCTTAGTGTTAAATTGGATTTGATTAGAAGATGTCTGTGGAGATTGTGGTGTTTTTTTTTTTAACTTAATCCAACCATCTTGTCAAATGCATGAGTGATGGGTTTTAGTTTTATTGTGGCTATGTTGCGTTTTTTAATGGATGATATGACCAATAGAAAGAGATTTGTGGTGTAGCTGTTAAATGTGTCATTAATTAATTCAAATACCGATTCATTTTATGTAAAATACATATATAATTATTTCACTATTTACATTTACATTTCATGATCCTGCATTGCAGTGATTCATGAATTACTTAAAACTGTCAAACTGACCCATCAAAAGTTGGTAGGCGGAACCTAACGCCTGATTGGTTACCCTCTGCATCAAGCCAAGACAAATCAATTCCGGATAATGTCAGCAGGTCCTGCTTCTACATCCTCTGCTAAGTTTAAAATGTCTCTAACCAACTCCCTGGAAAGTTCACGGAGATCCTCCATTGTCTCTATCCAGGTTGGCCTACTCTACTTCAGACCAAAGCAATGGATCAGACTAGATTCGCGTTAGCCCCGCCCACTGACTTTGATGGGTCAGTTTGACAGTTTTAAGTAATTCATGAATCACTGCAATGCAGGATCATGAAATGTAAATGTAAATAGTGAAATAATTATATATGTATTTTACATAAAATGAATCGTGCTGTATCACAATAATTCATTAATTCTTAGTTTTAGATAGGCCTACGTTTTTTAAGTGGATGGGTAGAATAACCAATCCACCCAATGTCAGAATGAAACAATGACAGACCAATGAAAACGTCTGCATTGCACAGTAGTAAAACATGTTTGTCACGCCCTGGCTCTAGGGACTCTTTTATGTTGAGCCAGGGTGTGTAGAGTCTATGTGTTGTGCTCTTTGTTTTACATTCTAGGTCTTGTATTTCTATGTTGGCCAGAGTGGTTCCCAATCAGAGGCAACGAGTGTCAGCTGTTGCTGGTTGTCTCTGATTGGGAACCATATTTAAACAGTCTGTTTTCCCTCAGTGTTTGTGGGATCTTGTTCCGTGTTACTAGTAGGTTTTGTTTGAGCTAAGGACGTCACGTTATCGTTTTGTTGTTTTTGTTCGTGTTATCCTTCAGATTTAATAAATATGTTTGCATTCAACGCTGCGCATTGGTCCTCTGTTCACGACGATCGTGACAATGTTATTATAAAGATTGCAGTAGCCTAATCCATAAATGCAGTTTCTGTGATTGCAACTCTGTTGAAAAGGCAGAAAATTGCATTTCCTGATTAAACATATTGATTATGGAGCTACGCACGGTGATGGGCAAATTGTGCAATAGCAAAAACATAATTTTTCTTATTCTGTGGGGCCTAGAGCTGTAGAATAGACTCAGATAAATCTATTAAATTAATGGCTAGCGGATTTTGTTTTTCCTGTATTTATTCAAGCAGCATCACTGATAATTTGGGCGTGGGAGTGGACGGGCTGCTTGAAACACACCCAATCTCTTTTTCTCTCTTTAAAAATAATTAAGATAGAATAAACACGCAGAAAAGAAAACATGCAAAGTAAGGCAGAACAACCACAAATGATTAGGACACTCACTCGTCGTGGCCTTTGCAAAGAAAGAACAGCAGTCTCCATGCCTGCACTGCGGATAGGATGAGCGATGCTATCCCGACAAAAGTGATGAAACTGCAGGAAGACTCCGGTCCCCACTCCTCAACGATGAAGCGCTGCTTTGAGACCGTGATGTTCTCATTCTGCCACATACCACGCGTGAAAAGCAAGCATTTTCCATGAAAATCCTCCGTGTTTTCGGAGAGAGGCACTACGGCAATAAAGCCAAACACAAACGCCAAAAAATAGAGGATGCATTGCGCGAAGATTAAATTATCGAGGGCCATTTTCCCATTTCTTTTCTCTCACTGCGTCCGTTGCATCCGCGACTGCGCAGTAGACACTTGAGCGTGGGCGCAGCATCAGCACCATTCACGCTGGAGCAGGCAGCAGTCTCAATTAGCCTAAATGATCTAATAGCCTACTAATCGGGTCATTCCATGAAACCGGTACGATTTGAGTCCCTCTGACCTTTTTAAGTATATTTAGTATTGGGTCACCAAAATCCAATTTCATATATATTGAAATGTACATTTACATTTTAGTCATTTAGCAGACGATCTTATCCAGAGCGACTTACAGTTAGTGAGTGCATACATTTTCATGCTGGCCCCCTTGGGAAACGAACCCACAACCCTGGCGTTGCAAGCGCCATGCTCTACCAACTGAGCTACGCTGTAAATGTACGCTGTAAACATTACATTAATTTCATCTTTAATGTCAGAAAATAGCTAGTTTACAACTGACACCAAGCATTTTGTCATGTCCTTCACTGAATTTGTATTGCGGATATGACTATTAAAATTGACATATAATGCATACATTTTGCCATTGATATAAACATCTACATGTGCTCTTCTGCTAAGAATGTATTTTTTCCAAATAAATGATGGATTATTGATTAAAATCACAAAATATTGTTGGGTACCTCAGTCTACCACATTACACCAACCAATACCCTCAATGCACATTCCATGCTCGAACGTTCCAAACTCTCTTTATCCAGGAGCAGTTTCGTGGGCATTGCCAACAGGGAGGAGATCTCCTTAAATTTTGATCAAATTCGTTAAAATTACTAAATTACATTCTCATAATTTAAAAGCTACAGCAATGCAGTTGTGCGAAAAATGTAAGAACATTTGAAAACCAGTGATTCAACATAATATAACCACTACAAAGCTGATGCTAGCTAGCCTCTTCCATAGACTTGACTGCAGCTAGCTAGCATCAGAGCCTTCTGGCTAATATCTTTTGGCTAATATCATAGACTGGATCTATCTTTGTTTCACAGAGAAGGTCTATGTACTTGTCATGTTAGTTGAAGCTAACATTAGTTTACAAAATGATTGTTTGCTAAGGTGTAATTTTCTATAGGATTGAGGTCAGGGCTTTGTGATGGCCACGCCAATACCTTGACTTTGTTGTCCTTAAGCCATTTTGCCACAACTTTGGAAGTATGCTTGGGGTCATTGTCCATTTGGAAGACCCATTTGCGACCAAGCTTTAACTTCCTGACTGATGTCTTGAGATGTTACTTCAATATATCCACATCATTTTCCTTCCTCATGATGCCATCTATTTTGTGAAATGCACCAGACCCTCCTGCAGCAAAGCATGATGCTGCCACCCCCGTGCTTTACGGTTGGGATGGTGTTCTTCGGCTTGCAAGTTCCCCCTTTTTCCTCCAAACATAACGATGGTCATTATGGCCAAACAGTTCTATTTTTGTTTCATCAGACAAAAAAATGTGGTCCCCATGTACAGTTGCAAATCATAGTCTTGCTTATTTATGGCGGTTTTGGAGCAGTGGCTTTCTTCCTTGCTGAGCGGCCTTTCAGGTTATGTCGATATAGGACTCGTTTTACTGTGGATGTAGATACTTTTGTACCTGTTTCCTACAGCATCTTCACAAGGTCCTTTGCTGTTATTCTGGGATTGATTTGCACTTTTCGCACCAAAGGATGTTCATCTCTAGGAGACAGAATGCGTCTGCTTCCTGAGCGGTATGACGGCTGCGTGGTCCCATGGTGTTTATACTTGCATACTATTGTTTGTACAGATGAACGTGGTACCTTCAGGCGTTTGGAAATTGCTCCCAAGGATGAACCAGACTTGTGGAGGTCTACAATTATTTTTCTGAGGTCTTGGCTGATTTCTTTTGATTTTCCCATGATGTCAAGCAAAGAGGCACTGAGTTTGAAGATAGGCCTCGAAATACATCCACAGGTACACCTCCAATTGACTCAAATGATGACAATTAGCCTATCAGAAGCTTCTAAAGCCATGACATCATTTTCTGGAATTTTCCAAGCTGTTTAAAGGCACAGTGAACTTAGTGTATGTAAACTTCTGACCCAATGGAATTGTGATACAGTGAATTCTAAGTGAAATAATCTGTCTTTAAACCATTGTTGGAAAAATTAATTGTGTCATGCACAAAGTAGATGTAATAATAATGTACTAACCTACTTGCCAAAACTATAGTTTGTTAACAAGAAATGTGTGGAGTGGTTGAAAAACGAGTTTTAATGACTCCAACCTAAGTGTATGTAAACTTCCGACTGCAACTGTATCTACACTGAACAAAAATATAAATGTAACATATAAAGTGTTGGTCCCATGTTTTATGAGCTGAAATAAAAGATCCTAGAAATGTTCCATACGCACAAAACGCTTATTTCTCTCAGATTTTGCACACACATTTGTTTACATCCTTATTAGCGAGCATTTCTCCGCATATCAAGAAGCTGATTAAACAGAATAATCCTTACACAGGTTTACCTTGTGCTGGGGACAATAAAAGGCCACTCATGTCTCAAGTCTTGCGGACACCGACATCTTGCGCCCGGACAAGCTAAACACCTTCTTCGCCCGCTTTGAGGATAACACAGTGCCACCGACGCGGCCTGCTCCCAAGGACTGTGGGCTCTCGTTCTCCGGGGCCAAAGTGAGTAAGACGTTTAAGTGTGTTAACCCTTGCAAGGCTGCTGGCCCAGACGGCATCAGACCTAGCCACGTCTTCAGAGCATGCACAAACCAGCTGGCTGGAGTGTTTACTACGGACATATTCAATCTCTCCCTATCCCAGTCTGCTGTCCCCACTTGCTTCAAGATGTCCAACATTGTTCCTTTACCCAAGAAAGCAAAGGTAACTGAACTAAATGACTATCGCCCCGTAACACTCAGATCTGTCATTATGAAGTGCTTTGAGAGGCTAGTTAAGGATCATATCACCTCTACCTTACCTGACACCCTAGACCCACTTCAATATGCAGACCGCCCCAATAGATCCACAGACGATACAATCGCCATCCCACTGCACACTGCCCTAGCCCATCTGGACAAGAGGAATACCTACGTAAGAATGCTGTTAATTGATTATAGCTCAGCCTTCAACACCATAGTATCCTCCAACCTCATCATTAAACTCGGGGCCCTAGGTCTGAACCCCGCCCTGTGCAACTGGGTCCTGGACTTCCTGACGGGCCACCCCCAGGTGGTGAAGGTAGGAAACACCTCCACTTCGCTGATCTTCAACACAGGGGCCCCACAAGGGTGCATGCTCAGCACCCTCCTGTACTCCCGGTTCACCCATGATTGCGTGGCCATGCACGCCTCCAACTCAATCATCAAGTTTGCAGACGACACAACAGTAGTAGCCCTGATTACCAACAATGACAAGACAGCCTACAGGGAGGAGGTGAGGGCCCTGGTGGAGTGGTGCCAGGAAAATAACCTCTCCCACAATGTCAACAAAACGAAGGAGCTGATCGTGGACTTCAGGAAACAGCAGAGGGAACACGCCCCTATCCACACACATCACTGACAATCTGAAATGGTCCACCCACACAGACAGTGTGGTGAAGAAGGCGCAACAGCACCTCTTCAACCTCAGGAGGCTGAAGAAATTCGGCTTGGCCCCTAAGACCATCACAAACTTTTACAGATGCACAATTGAGAGCATCCTGTCGGGCTGTATCACTGCCTGGTACGGCAACTGAACCGCCCGCAACCACAGAGCTCTCCAGAGGGTGGTGCGGTCTGCCCAACGCATCACCGGGGGCACACTGCCTGCCCTCCAGGACACCTACAGTACCCGATGACACAGGAAGGCCAAAAAGATCATCAAGGATATCAACCACCCGAGCCACGGCCTGTTCACCCCGCTACCATCCAGAAGGCGAGGTCAGTACAGGTGCTTCAAAGCTGGGACCGAGAGACTGAAATACAGCTTCTATCTCAAGGCCATCAGACTGTTAAATAGCCATCACTAGCCAGCTACCACCCGGTTACTCAACCCTGCACCTTAGAGGCTGCTGCCCCATATACATAGACATGGAATCATTGGTCACTTTAATAATGGAACACTAGTCATTTTAATAACGAACACAATTGCATTTTATCGATGGCAATTTGAATGCACAGAGATACCTTGATGAGATCTTGAGGCCCATTGTCAAGCCATTCATCTGCCGCCATCACCTCATGTTTCAGCATGATAATGCACGGCCCCATGTCACAAGGATCTGTACACAATTCCTGGAAGCTGAAAATGTTCCAGTTCATCCATGGCCTGCATACTCAACAGACACCATAGGAGCATGTTTGGGATGCTCTGGGTCGAAGTGTACGACAGCGTGTTCCAGTTCCCGCCAATATCCAGCAACTTATCACAGCCATTGAAGAGGAGTGGGACAACATTCCACAGGCCACAATCAACAGTCTGATCAACTCTATGCAAAGGAGATGTGTTACGCTGCATGAGGCAAATGGTGGTCACACCAGATACTGACTGGTAATTTCACTCAACAACTTTTTAAAAAGGGTAGTAGACATTTACAGATCATAGTCTAGCCCAAAATTAATGTTTCAGAATCTACAAAGTAACAATACATAATTTTAGCAAACATTTAAAAAGGCTACATAAATATGTCCAAGTGACTTGTGACTGTATATATATTTCATAAACATTCCAAAACAATACATTATAGACCTGCTAAATGACTCCATCTAGCATAAAAAATATTAGAAACAAAATGGATTCTGTATTTATTTTAGAAGATGCAACAATTGTTCATGTAGCAAACATTGGATGACTTGGTGAAGGTGTGGTAGAGAGAAGCTGTCTGTTTTCCTCCCCTTCCTTCATCGGTGGTGCTCGTTCAATATAAGATTTGGAGAGTCCTGTGAACATGAACAGTCAGGAACATGTCCTTCTGAACAGCACCATCTTCCTAATTGAGAACCTTTACATAATATATGAAATCTGATAGGCAACAGCATCACC